TTAGCGGCACCCAGTCTGTACTACGAGGTAATCGGTGGCAGATCAAATCAGCAATCACAGCAGAAGTGAGTGGTCAGAAGGAGTAACAGAGATGCTCAAATGTCTTACAAGAGAAAAAAGACTAGAATCCCAGTTAGCATGGGTGTCATCAATAGGGCACATGTACTCTGTGTTTGGTGCTGAGCTGGGTGCTAAATTAATACATTATTTTCTTTGATCCTTACAATAACTCTCTGAGTTAGGAGTTGTCATTCCCATTTCATTCAAAGCATTCTGAAGTTAAGAGTGATAAAGTGACTGTCTGAAGGTCACTCAGAGGTTGGTGAAGCTGAGAGTTGAGACTCCAGTGGAAATGGTCAGGGTCTTCTTCCTGCCTGCTTTCCATGCCTGCCTGTTTTGTTTTGTTATAAAAGTATTATGTATTAAAGATTAACAACAACAATCTTACAACAGTGCAAAAGGGAGTCACATGAAAACCAGAGCTCTCTATGCCTGTGTCCTGTATCTATAATAATAGTAGTTGCTGATGAGCTTCTTGTGTGTCTCCCTAAACATTCTGAAGCTTTAGCAGGGGGAAGTCATCGCCAACATAGCTAACCGTTGACCTCAGGACTTGGCTGACCTTTTGCAGCCAAGGTAGGGGATATGTTGAGGATCTGTGAGGTATAGATTCAGGGGCAGAGGGTTCTTCCAGAACTCGGGTGTTTATCCGAGGGCTCATGTGGACTGGTGTGGAAAGTCCCTGGGAACTGAATTCTCCCTTTTACCACCCCTGCAGAGTATCATGTTCAGAAACAAAGGCCATCATGTCTTAAAACAGCATGCACGCATTTGAGAAGAAGCTGGTGGTGAGGTTCACTGACCCTTAGACTTGCCCCAGACACAAAAACACATCATTTTGTTTTTGCTTGTTGCTTAGGTGATATGGTTTTCATACCTAATAGGTAAGCTGATGAGACGCTGATAATATGTGTAGGGAAATATCAGCCTGGTGATGGTCAAGAGTAGTCTGTCATACTCAAAACTGTGGCTCTATGTCAGCCGTGGGCAAACTACGGCCCGCGGGCCGAATCCGACCCGCTTGAAATGAATAAAACTAAAAAAAAAAAAAAGACCGTACCCTTTTATGTAATGATGCTTACTTTGAATTTATATTAGTTCACACAAACACTCCATCCATGCTTTTGTTCCGGCCCTCCGGTCCAGTTTAAGAACCCATTGTGGCCCTCGAGTCAAAAAGTTTGCCCACCCCTGCTCTATGTCCTGATGGAGAAAACCTCTTGGTAGAGGGTAGGGTCTTATTCCTTCTTGCTCCTATATATCTAGGAAGTTCTTTGTTTACCCAGGATGGAGTGGGCTCTAGTTCTTATGAATGACGAGAAACAAGTTCGAATTGTTCTGAGATTCAGTATATTATTTTATTTTATTTTATTAAGTTCTAAAACTCTGTCCAAAAAAAATTTCTGAAATGGAAGCCAAAAATATGAAACAGATTATGGTGGAATGGTAGTTATCCTGAGATAGTTATGTAGAACTGAAGCTCTGTAGTTCGAAAACCATGATTTAGTCCAACCCCCTTATTTGGAGAGATGGAAATGAAGGTTCACAGCACTAAAGTGACATGTCCAAGGTTACACAGCTAGTTATTTGGAGTGTTGACAAGATGATATCTCAATGTGTGGCCTTCCCCAAAGGTAGACACTTAACTCAGGCGTTTGGTTCCTTCTCCTACCACAGATAAGATAAAGAATGTATCATAATAGCAGTCTCATCCAAAATGTCTTCCAACATGGCAGAATACTAGAAGCTTCTGCCTCTAGACATTCCTTCCAGCCAGCCCTCTTGGTAGTCCGAGGTAGTGTGTGAGGCAAGGCTGTGTTCATGCACTCAGGGAGCCAGATTCTGAAGCAAGCATGCTGTATCCCTCCCTTCCCATCTCCCTTACTTACTGATTAACCTGCTTGATGTCTGTCTCATTTTCTCATCTGAAAATTCTGCCAACTTCATAATCTTGCAGTGAGGATCAAATAAGATACGCAAGTAATTACCTCGCGTATGCCAGGCTAGGACTGGATCCTTTGTGGTGACTGGGTGCTGGGACTGTGGTCATGGTGGTGCTGGTGCCAGTTGTGCTGATAGTTGCGGTAGAACTGATTCCTGTTCAGGCTACTCTGACATCTTCCTGCTCATGTTCTAATTCCTGATGTCCTGACCCACATCTCAGCTTTGTGCTCCAGCTTTCACCTTGCTGAAACGGGAAGGTGCAGTCATTTTCACTCAGCTGGGCTAAGTAGGGCTATGCATTGATGTCCATTTATGACCTTTGTTGATTTCACCCTTTTTTGCCCCCCCCCCCTTTTCCCCCAGCTCACTAGCACTTGTGTGTGCTCCTAGCAAAGTCCTTGGAATGTAGTCAATACTCGGTAAATATTTGTCAGTGTGAATGGTACTGTTGTACCATCACCTGAGACCAGTCTGGGCAGCTCCCACCAGCACCACCCTTGAACTTGGGTCTTCCTGCCCTTTAACCAGCCCATCCTAGGCCCTGTGTTCCCACCCCTTGAACTTGTATCCTGCTCCCACACCTTGGTCTTTGGTTCTCTCTTCCAGGAGTTTCTTGGTTGATCTTCCATGTAGACACTCCAGTCCCTACTTGTACTGGATGAGCACGTCAGGACACGCCCAGGCATGCTGTCCTTGTTACAGCTGAGGCCCACTGCCCCAGACGTAGAGACCCCACTCTCACCCCCAAGTGCATGTGGCACTTGCTGTAAACTGTTCAGGGGACACAAAATGAGGTCAATGATTAGTAGAAGAATGTGGATGTTCTATTAAAGGGAATGCTTAGCTCTTTATTGCAGTTATATAATAGGCAGCAATCATGATAGCCGAGGGACATGAAAACACAGTCAGCAGAGTTTATAGAGTTCTCTGTAATGTGGGCTTGTGTGTGTTGTTTTGTGTGTGTGCGCGCATGCACTTGCCTGTGAATGTACCTCCGAGGCATTCTGGGAACTTGTTCTTGAGAAAGAGATATCAGGCCTGGTTCCCTTTTTTTTTTTTTTTTTTTTTTTCTTATAGCAATAGCTTGGTGGCTGGAAATAGAGTATTAGTTTCTATAGCTAAAAAAAATACTCTTTTTAAAAACCTTCTAGAACACTGGTTTTCAACTGTGGTTCCTGGATCCAAGAGCATTGGAATCACTGGGAATTTGTCAGAAATACAAATTCTAGGATCCCACCACAAATCTACTAGATCTTTAGGGGTCTTTGGGGTTGAAGCTCAGCAATCTATATTTTAACTACCCCCTCTCCCAGGCAGTTCTGATCTGCCCAAGTCTAAGAACCACATAGCCACTGACTCCTAAATCATCACCCCAAGACTGATTAGGAAAGTGCTCTTAGGGTCTTTAAACCTGGATTAGATCTATTTCCCGATTCATCTTTATTCTAAGGCTGTAGGTGTCCACAAAAGAAAATGTCGATGTCCCTATTAAAGAAGTGACGTTCTTGAATCAAGCCTTCCTCTAAACCAGAACCTTTAGAATATAACTGAGCAAATTCTGTTGCTTTTTTTTTTAAAGATGTGTTGTAGCTTACATTAAGACGTATTTTATGGATAATAAATACCATAATCAAGGCTATGTATATTTTTTCTCCACTAACTTTTGATTTTTGTTTTTGGGATATTGAGCATAGTCCTGTTACTTCCAAACTTTACATTTTATCACACCTTTCTCTTTCCTTAAAGGATTTCATGGCATATTTGCAAAGTATCAAATAAAAATCTATATATTCTTAAGCATTTAACAATACTCTGTAATCTTTGGAAATGTCCTGAAAGTTGCAAAATAAGTGTTTATAGTCATGGTATAGCCGCTAAAGGATAATTCTCAAATAGAGTAGAAGTAATTTGTCAGCTATAGATAGTTAGATGAGTGACCATGGGAGCCCTTTCTATGATTTTCAGGGTCTCGTGTGTGAAATGAGACCTTGGATCACAAATTCTTATAAAGTGATAGTTTGACTAGATTTGAGCTATCCCAGGTTACCAAAATTAGAAAATGTGAGTGGATTTATCACACCCTTAGTAGATAGATAGTTCACAGTAAGCAATCCTTTCAGTACACTTCTCAATAAAAGTTTTCAATTTCCTAAGGAAGTAATAAAAACTCTGGGATTTGTAGTCAGGAAATCTGAAATTTAATCTAGACTCTACTGAAATCTGTAAATTTAGGCAAATCTCCCTGACTTTCTGGGCCTTAGTTCTTTGTTTTTGAGTTTTTGTTTCTGTTTTAATTGTAAGATGATAGTTGTTGGTTTAGATCAGGGTTGGGAACCTTTTTTCTGCCAAGGGCCATTTGGATATTTATAACATAATTCGTGGGCCATACAAAATTATCAACTTAAAAGTTAGCCTGCTATATTTGGTCAAACAATTAACTCAGCCCTAATGCCTTGGCAGGGCCAAACAAAATTATTTCAAGGGGCTTATACAGCCCTCGGGCCAGACGTCAGGTACCCTATCCCTGGTTTAGATGAACAATTTATTTTCCTTCACTAAAAGAAAAATAATTTGTACATAAATGTGGAAATCAGAATATACTAGTAAATAAGACATGAACTAAATTTTCTAGCTAGATTTTGCTAATCTGAACACATTTTGTATGCTTTTTAATATTTTTTCTTGAAATCTGTTTAGGAAAAAAATGATGGCGGTTTAAATATTTTGAGTTAATAGGGAAGATTATCTTTAAAGTTAGAATCTGAGTTTTGTGATATTTTGCTTCTAAATAGACATCAACTCTCGTTGATAGAAACTTCTTTGTATATTTACTTAGGAGGTATGTTGAAAATGTTATTGCTTAGTTTGTGGAATTTACATAAGCTGGGTTATTAACTGATATTTGCATTTTCATTTAGGTTTTGGCTAATTTAATTTTTTTAATAATTTTTAAATGAAAAGTATAATCTGATTAAAACTTAAATATTTTCTTACAGTGATCCATACGTGAAACTTTCATTGTATGTAGCAGATGAGAATAGAGAACTTGCTTTGGTGCAGACAAAAACAATTAAAAAGGTAGGTGTCCATCCTAATTAAATTTCATTTAAGCCATAATTTAACCCAATTAGATTATGTATTTTGGGTCTGTTGAAGTTTATATTTTAAGATTAAGATGGAAATATTTTTTAAGCATTTTCCAGTATTAAACCTATAAATTCAGTGTTAATCCAAAATATGTTTCTTGCTTTTAGTTAAATGATTGTACAAAACAGTATTCTTAAAATAAGTATTATTACAAGTAGCAATTTTTTCCCAGGAAAAGAATATAGCAAAACAAGATTTGTTCTTGTTGGCTTATTATTTTTCATAAAGAAATTTAAAATAATTTAAAATACATTTAATGAAATAGAGTTGTGTGGGGAATTGGTAGGCACAAAGGGGATGGTTTATCTTGAAACAAGAATTTCCAAAGAAGCAAAATACTTGTTTAGCTACAAGAAAACAAATAAAAAACATTAATAATAAAACTATGTTTATGTGCATATGTTTTACTTTTCTAAATTTCACACATATGATTTCATTAAAGATGTTTTCCTAATTGTATTTTAATTCATCTATCTCCATGGAATATAATGTGAAATATTTGCTCCATATTTAGGACATTTGTTGAAGATGCTTTTTTAAAATCCAAAATGCTGTTATTCTTCATGCTTCGGTGTTATTTACACATTACTATTATTTTTCCCTTGCTACCTTTGGGTAGTTAGATAACACTGTGATAAGCATTTCCTGGAGAGTTTGATGGCTTTTTTAAAAAATGGTAACTCTCCTGCTATTGTGCAGACGCCTGGGCTCCATGACCAGGTCATTTTGTGTAAGAAACAGCAGCTGTAGCGTGCCCTCCACCTGGCATTCGGCCTGGCATTAAAAATGTTTTGATTAGTGGGGAGGATGCCTGCGAAGGACGGAGGCCATTGTTTGCTGTGCTAGGCGCTGTCACTGGTTTGGTTATCAGTGGAGAGGGAGGCCGCCTTGCAGGGAAGGCAAGCCGAAGGCGGAGGGAGCAGAGAACCAGAGCCACCGAGGCGGTGATTTGCGATATTGAAATGTGTTTTCTTGCGAAGGGAGGCCCTCCTCCTCCCTCCGCTCCACGGTAGAGGTGCAGCTGCATGGCTGGGGCTGCTCTGCCTGCTTGGCAGCCAGCCTCCTGGTTAGTATTACTGCGCTGTGTTCGCTGGGGTTTATGAACTGCTTTCATTCTCCTCTCCGCCCGGCCCGGTGCCGGGGTCTTTCATGCTGTTCTGTGGTCTCACGTTGTTGTTGTTTTCTTCCCTTACCTGTCCTTTGCTTCCTCCCCGCTACATTTCTATGAAGCTGGTCCCCAGGGCTGCTGCAGCCCATGGCACGCCTGGGCCTGCCCTGCCTCTCCCTGGCTGCCTGGCACCATCTCCCCTCCCTCCTCCTCTCTTCCATCACCATCCTGTCTCCCATCACCATCCCCGCTCCATTCTTAGCTAAAAATATGAAATCCACTATTTAGGGTTGGATTTACTGTTGAGTTGTGGGTGGGGATAGTGCTGATTTTTAAAAATGCCAGTTCAGTGTTATACAAATTGTGTTTTTTATTTTTTATGTGCATTGTGTTGTTGTTGTTATTATTATTTGCTTCTTCCTGCACTAGTATGTTAAAGGAAATCGGTTAATAAAAGAAAATATTCTGAATGCAGAGTATCTGTAGCCATAGGTGAGGTTGTGATTTCTCAGTCTCAAATTTTTACACATAATTTTAAAGACATGTATTTATTTAAGAGTGTTATGCATGTCCAAAATGCACAAATATATATATATCCTGTGCTTAGGACAAAATATCCTTTCCATGTTCTGTGTGATATATATTTAAATGGATTGATAGGGAGGTGGATGGAGAGAAAGATGGAAGGATAGGGAGAAGAATATTTTTAAACCTGTTATTTGGGGGAAAAATAATTTACTTTAGGTTTATAACTGGCAGATATTTTTTCTTGTTATATGATATGATCATCAATATTGTTCCTAAAGAATGTTCTTCAGATTCGAGTATTTATATAAGTAGTGAGCACTTTCACCTTCCTACCACCTGCTTCACTTCTCTCCAAAACGGATTTTTGTAGCACACAGGTTGAGGGAAGGGAACAAAATTTATCTCCTTCTGGATAGGGTAACTATATCAATTTTAATTTCTTAAAAGATATATTTCTATCTTCATGATGATGGCTTTTTACAGGTCCCCAATGTTATTCCTTCTGATTGATAGCTTGCAATTTATGTTTTTTTTGTCTATAAATTATCTGTGCCCCTCCTAGTTTGGTTTATAGAATAGTCTCAAATAATTGACTAAATGCTTCTTTTTTTGCCATTTTGAGACTTTCTCAGCTCTTTTTTAAATCAGAAAAATGGTTAAGCAAATATGTGGACTGTGTTGTACTAGTAACTGCTAAAGTTTCAAAGACTGTAAAAGGTATTACAAGATACTTTCTCTTCCAGACGCTGAACCCAAAATGGAATGAAGAATTTTATTTTAGAGTAAGTTTTTCATTTTTTTTGGTAACACTTGTTATTGATAACTAGATTGATATATTATCCTAATAGATTCATATTGAATGAAAGCTGTTAAATTTTTATTGTGAAATTTCTTTCAGTATGAGAATCGGTTGGGTAGCCTCCTAATGTGCCCCAAATTTTCAAAGACTGTGACGAGTGGTAACGAAATCTGACTTGTTTTATTTGGAAATGTTTTAGGGAAATAAAAAGAAAGCTATCCAAATATATTTTAGCCTTTCTATTAAAAATTTTCTTTAATAATAAGGCAAAATACCATTAAAACACTAGTTTACTTCTAGAGATATAGGTTATGAATTATTTTAGAGATAGGATAAAACAATAGAGGCAACATGATTAAAAAGAAGCCTACATTTTATCAAGTATGTTCCAGTAATGAAGGAAAATTTTGTAATTCAAATATTTAGTGTGAGTGTATATGTGTAGTATAAAACTACTTCTGGAATTTAAATATCACCGAATTAGGTAAAATTTCCTTAACCTTTTATATTTAACTAGAGGCCTGATGCACAAAATTCGTGCAAGGGTAGGCCTTCCTTCCCTGCCTGCGCACCCACCTTCGCCTGGCACTGCCCTGGTCCGCCGCCACACGCCCCCGGTTCTTCGGAGGCCCCCCTCCGCAACCCCCTACCCCCCTGATAGATCACCCCTCTGGCCAGTGGCCTGGGCCTCCCTCTGTGGGGTGATCGTGGGGCAATGGCGGGGCTCCCTGACCAATCACATCGCACCCGCCTTGGCTGGCTTGGCACCAGTGCCTGTCATAGCGTGGTTGTCCGGAAGGTTGTCCGGATGGTTGTTCTGCTCTTTGATCAATTTGTATATTACGCTTTTATTATTGTAGATACCCAGAAGAGCTATATGTAGAAATGGCTGGATTCTGTGAATTAACAGAGAATACTATTTGTGGTGGTTGCTGGTTTTTTTATACTGAAATTTTGAAAATATTAAACCGCTCAGCTATGTAATAGAAAGAAAAGGTGTATTTTTTCCTCTTCAAAATGAATATATTTTCATTGTATAGCTGTGGTATTAAAAACTACTCTTTACCTTCAGAATTGTTCTAGATGAGACATTTTGATTAGTGTAGGTTCCCAAACAACAATATAATCAGTAGACATTGTAATTGGTCCTAATTTCTTCTTTCAATCACAATAGTATTTTATGGGCTCCAAACTTAGATCACTAGATACATGTGTTCTATTATATTCAGAGCTGAAATATGGCATTGATTTTTTTAATATATATTTTTTTATTGCTTTTAGAGAGGAAGGGAGAGGGAGAAAGAGATAGAAACATCAATGATGAGAGAGAATTATTGACCGGCTGCCTCCTGCACGCCCCGGGGCCCACAACCCAGGCATGTTTCTTGACCAAGAATTGACTTAATGGTTCATAGGTCAATGCTCAACCACTGAGCCACACCAGCCAGGCATGGCATTGATATCCTAATACTTGATGAGATCCTATGTGTAGCCTTGACCAGATATATTTAAAATTACTTCATGAAGAACTGAAAAGCTAATGGGGGCACATTGACGTTATTGGCCTTTAGTAAGCTTTCCACTTGTAAAACTCCAAATTACTTAGACCCCTTTCAGTTTAACACCCTGGCCACATTTATGTAAATGTTAGTACTTCCAAAATTTTTTTCAACTAATCTTGGCTACATATGTAAACTCTTATTTTTCTTGGATTTTTACAAAAAGGCCTTTGTTTTATTCATCTCACAAATTGTATTGCCTGCCTACTGTGTGTTGGCTCCTGCCATGGCCTGTGGGTGCCCTGACCAGCAGCTCAGGCCTTCATAGAGCCTAGACACTAAACCCTCCGTCCGTCTGCTTGTTCCCTCACTAGGCCTCTGAGGGCAGGCCAGGGGGCCACAAGTACAAGTCGTGCTCTCTGCTCTGTATATCAGATGTTATTCCATTCCATTTTCCATCACGAAGCAGCCGAGACTTGTGATAGTAGACATGGTCCCATCTCGGGCTCTACAACATGCAGCCTTTATGAACCTGTAAAAGCTACCTGAGGACTCACCTCCTCTGTAGGTTCCTTGTCGCTTACATAGGAGAGAAAGTCCTCGCTCAAGGGGGCTGTTTCCAGAATTTACATGTGATAGTATAAATGAAAACACCTACCACCATGTCTCACATGTGGCTGGTACTCACGAAATGATACTGGAGTCTGAGTGATGATTCCTGCCATTTGGGGGAGATTTTGGTAGAGAGACAGAAAGAAGCAAAAAGACATTGAAAGCCTAGTAGCTTTGACATTGACCCCGTGTTTGTTGTAAGGGGAGCACATCTTTTTTCTCTTTGTCTCTCTAATTGTTTAAAGCCTGGGCTCTGGAGACAAGCAGGCCAGACCTGGTGGGGGCTCTGGTTGCCTTGCATAGTAGCTGTGGGCCCTTAGGCAAGTTACTACACCCTCATGGTCTCAGCCCCTCATTTGTAAGATTGTGGTGACAGTTAACACATCATAGGTTTTCGGTCAGTATTAAAGGAGATCATGTGTTTTTGATATTTAATGAGAAGATCGTGCCTGGAAAATAAGCACTATGTAGTGAATGGCTTTTTTTACTATTTTGTCATTATTTTAATTATTGCTATTATATTATTGTTGTTGTTTTGATTAGGCCTAAGAGCTACCCTCAGGCATAGACCTTGTGAAGATGTAGCCTTGGTCTAAAGCAGCAATTTTCAACCAGTGTGCCGTAAGAATTTTTCAAACCTGCAATACCTATTTAGTCAGAAGCACTGACTTCTTTTCCCTTAGATTGTCAAATAAAAAAATGACAGCAGCCAGCACAACAATAGCCATCTGGAGTGAATCAAAATTATACCTTTTTTGGGTCACATCAGCAAAAAGTATATTTTTTTGGTGTGCCAAAGAATTTTAGTTGAAAATTGCTGGTCCAGAAACATGAGCGTACCTTTTGTAGAGGAGTTTGAAAAACGCTTTAAAACTATTCAGAATTATCCTTTCTAATGTTAGAAAAGCAGCTAAAAGCATTTTCTTCTAATATACCTCAGTATTGGGCACAGAACAATATAGAAATAAACAGATGACTTGATTTAGTAGATATAGGATTTTCAGAAGAAGACACTTGTTAAGATTACACATTTGATTTGGGTACATTATAAGCATTCCATTCTTTATCTCTTATTTCATCCTTTCAATTGTTTCTGCCCATTCTGAAGTACCATTTATGTCTCTATAGGTAAATCCATCTAATCACAGACTCCTCTTTGAAGTATTTGATGAGAACAGATTGGTAAGTGGGTCTCAGTTTTTATTTTTGCTTCATTTTTAAAAAAAATTTAGTTTTACAGCTGCTGCTTTAAAAACTGTGTTTATGTTGTACTTCTGACAGTATATATGCCTCTAACCCATGGCTTTATTTTTGTTCCATTACAAACTCATGGTTCTAACAAATATTTTCGTATGGCTAGGACAGAAATTTTATTTGTATATGCAAATGTTTTTATCATACTTAATATTAGTGAAAGTCACACTGATGATATATCAAACCATATGCTTACTTACACTCTGTTGGGAATACAGAATGATGGGCAAATCTGGAAAGAGGCCATCGCTCATATAAATAAACCTTTCAGGGATTTAAAATATGAGCCAGACCGCACTACTGTCACCTATCCAATCGTGAATCTATTGTGACCCTCCTTGGGGAAACCCAAATCTAATTAACAGTAGAGAGCAAAAAGTGAATCTATATTTAGCAGGTAAAATTAAGCTGTATTTTAAAAGTGGTACTTTCTCAAGGGAAATTAGTAGAAAGTATCTTTAAAGAACTAAAGATATGCCTGAGGCATGAGACTGATAACAAACTAACATTTTATATAGAGATTGATAGATAGGTAAGATACAGTTATAGTATATATCTATAAACGTGTGTGTGTGATAAAATTAAGATTTCATTTTAGAAATGGAATTTCAGAAGCAAATCTGGCTTGAAGCATTTTGCCCGTTACCTAATTAGAATGTAAACATTGAGTACCTGTGAGTCAACTGTTCCAACTATGAAAATGAACTTTCAGTTATGTGCTAGCGCTTTAAAAAATATTTTTTTTTATTGCTTTCAAAGATGGAGAGGGAGAGAGATATAGAAATATCAATGATGAGAGAGAATCATTGATCAGCTGCCTCCTGCATACCCCTTGCTGGGGACTGAGCCCACAACCCGGGCATGTGCCCTGACTGGGAATCGAACCGCAACCTCCTGGTTCATGGGTCGACGCTCAACCATTGAGCCACACCGGCCCAGCCATGTGCCAGCTTTTAAGGTACTCTCAGAAGAGGTATTATAATTCAGTGTAGTCAGTTGTCACTCAAATTTACTTTCCCTGAAACTTACGTTTTTTGTTTTGTTTTGTTTTGTTTGGGGCTTGTTAAAATGAATATTCTTATGAAGCGTTCCTGATGTAGAATTCAACTGAATAAATTTATTGAGCCACACCGGCCCGGCCATGTGCCAGCTTTTAAGGTACTCTCAGAAGACGTATTATAATTCAGTGTAGTCAGTTGTCACTCAAATTTACTTTCCCTGAAACTTACGTTTTTTGTTTTGTTTTGTTTTGTTGGGGGCTTGTTAAAATGAATATTCTTATGAAGCGTTCCTGATGTAGAATTCAACTGAATAAATTTTTAAATAGCTTGAGATTAGAATATTTGGTCTGGAGAAGCCTTATAACACAACTGGCTTACCTCCCTGACCTTGCCATTGAGAGAGGTGAGGTCTAGAGCCCGGGCATGATTTAGACACGGCAGTCGGCAGTGCCCTGGTGGAAACTGCTGTCCCCTTGTCTCAGGCCAGTGGTGGCAAATAACCAGGCTCCTCACCCCGATTATAGAATTTGGTTGTGTGTCTAATCTATGCTTGCTGTTATTTTCCAAATTAGAGAACCAACATATTCTGGCCTACCCTCATGATATCTTTTCTATTAAAAATGTATTTAGGTTATTGGTGGCTTTGCATGGAACTCAGCCTTATTTTTACCTTGGGTGATAATTAGTTGTACTACATAACTAAATCAGTTTTGCTGTGTGTCTGAAGTTATTTTCTTTTTAAATTGAATGGGAGAGTCTGCTGAGGGTGGAGGTCTTAGAACCCCCTCTCTCATCCAGCAAAGACTGTGAGTTAGGCAGTGCTCAGCAAAATGACAGTTGTCCCTGGAGTCACAGATGCATACTCATTTATTGAGTATAATAACACTTCTTTAAGGTGAAGGCAGGGTCAAATTTGAGGAAAAATTGCCTGTCAGATGTGTTTAATTCATGACTTAATTTTCTTTATTAAGAGAAATTTACTTTAACAAATTTGTTTCTCATTCCCATTATCTAACACAATGACTTGTTGAGATGACCTTGCCATGGGGCCCAAATATACTTCCAAACCCTTAAGTGCTTTGAATGCAGAGCTCTAAGAAATCCTGTGTGAATACAAACTTTATCTGAAAAACTATTTGATTATATTAATACCTAGTTTTGCCCCAGGCCAACTGTAGTGTTGTCACTGCTGGTGTTTTTCTCTTTGGCCATTAATCTAGCTAAGAGAATACATGACTATGGTGGTACTAGGCAGTTTTTTTTTATGATTGTTTGTTTTAGATTTTTATTGATTTCAGAGAGGAAGGGAGAGGGAGAGAGAGAAACACCAGTGATGAGAGAGAATCATCGACCGGCTTCCTCCCACATGCCCCACACTAGGGAATCAAGCCCACAACCATGTGCCCTTGACCGGAATCGAACCCAGGACCCTTCAGTCCACAGGCTGACGCTCTAGCCACTGAGCCAAACCAGCTAGGGCAGAACTTGGCAGTTTTAGCACTAAACAAACTAGCTTCCATTTCTCTCATAGAGATCATTTCTAGCGTTTAAAACACATGCCTTTAGAAAACAGGTTTGCATGTATGTAAACACAGGTTTAATCCCTCATACCCTCATCTCCAGAGCTGTTGACAAAATCATGCTTTGCGGATTTTAAAATAAACTTTTTTTCACTTTTTGCAGCTTGGTATTTTCCCCTCCTATTTTTTTTATACTCCTTCCTAAATAAACCTCTTTGTTAAATAACCAATGTTTCTGGATCATGGAAAATAGTTCATTTAAAACACCCAGAATATATCCAAGTTTACAAATCTGATGACAGTTTTTTTAATGTGGACCTTTAGTTTTCTTTTTTAGCTCCTTTTTGGCCCTTTGCAGAAATAGCAAGATTCCATGCTAGTATCCCAACCATGTTAATATTGCTGACTTCTCACTGGAAAAGTTGGCTCTGGGCAGCTTTTTTTCTGTATGGTATTTAAGTTAACTTACTACGAAAAGCACATGTTCTCCCTTCTTCAATTTTCCTTCCTTTTGTTGAGGGGGGCGGGTAGTTGTTTTTTCCCCTTATCTGGCATATGAGAGAAATGTTTTCTCCAGCTGGGTCCCTTTTCTCTGGTACTTCCCTCTCTGACAGTATATCGTGTGAGAGTTACACACACACACAACACACACACACACACACACCCTCCCTTCTAACTGAAAAGGGTTATAGTAACAGGAGGCGGACCACTAACTGGCAGTGTGAATATTTGTGCCCCTTGCCCTTAGCTATTTTGTGACTTGTAGATCACGGTCTAATTATTTAGCATTAAAGGGACACTAATTCTGTGGGGTGTGTAACTGTATTTATAGTACCTTTTATTAGTTTGCATTCCATGCGGGTAGTGTGGTGATATCATAAATAACAGGAACATAACCTCCGAGGCTTGTGAAAGGGTTTTCCTAGAGCCAAGGCATTTTTGCTGTTCGTCATTCGGTCCTGCGGGGAGGTGGGGAAGTGCCGTGTGTGCTGGTGTTTTCAGTGCCAGGTCTCGCGTGGTTAGAGCGCCCAGTGCCTGCTGCGTTCGGAAAGAACTGTCCTGTGAGTGTGATGCGGGTAGATTTATAGCCGCGTGGCTCGGAGTGTGTCTGCTGCCCCAGTCAGCTGTGAGAGCTCCCTGCTGGGGCCACTCCTGTCTGATGGAAAAAAGCAGCAGCTGGGAAGGTGGTGTTTCAGGCTCTTGCTGTTTAAAAAAAAAGAGAGAGAGCGAGAGGGAGAAAACTCCACTAAGTCCACAGGCTGGCATTGGAGGGGGAGACGGCGGTCATGTGGTTCTGGCCATCCTACCCTCTGTCACAGTGTGGATGAGAGCTTTTTGCTCTTATCCAATCATGCCTGGAATGCTGCTTGCCACTTGGGTTATTTCTGCTATCTGTCGCTCTTGGTGCCGCAGTGCTAAAGGTTTGGCAGATGGGACGCTTTTTCTTGGAGTTTGTGTCTTCGGTTTTTGACTTCTGGCAGTGCCGGGCGTGTTGTGGCCGCTCGTCCTCTCCCTCCCTGCCCCCCTGGGCACCATGGCCCATCGGCTTCGGTTTCATTTTGGCTCCAGTCGCAGCAACACAGCCCCTGAATCAGAGATCCTCGACCAGGAGAGAGAAGACGACTTTCTCATGACATTCCACACCCTGCCGCGGAGGAGCGGCCCTCACCCCTGCGCCCACCGCGCGGAGGACGGAGGCCTGCAGGAAGCGGTGGGCGCGCTCAAGCGCAGCACGTCCATGTTCATCCCGCAGCTCCTGAGCCCCATGGACGCGCGGCCCACGCGCAGCTCGTCCATGCAGATCTCGCTGCAGCGCAAAGCGGCCGACGGGGCCCCGGACACGTGCGGGCCACCCGAGGGTCTAGACTGCGACGCAGGGTCGGTGTCTCTGGGCCGCTGTACGGAGCCCCCCAAGTCCCAGACCCCGGAGAACTCTCCACCCAGGGCCACCAGGGGTTTAGGCCCCCAAGTGAACGGCATGTGTGGCCACCTAGCACGGAGTCCTGTCCCTGCGGATGGCCGTGAGGAGGCCGAGCCTCGGGGACCCAAGGGTGGCGGGCTCCGGATCCAGCACCGAGCCTCCAGCGCCGACATGCGCCAGGTGAGGCTGACGCAGCCCTTCGGGGCCGATGGACTGTGCAGCTCTTCAACTCCGGAGCCCAGGCGCTGGTCCCTGCAGCACGTACCAGATGCTTCTGGAAGTTCTGGGAAGCGGTGCTTTGTCTTCCAGCTGCAGCAGCCGCCTCCAGGCACACCTGGTGTGGGTGGTGACTTCAACTTTGGGTTCACGGGCACGAAGGGGGACAGGTTGGTGCGGTACCCCCGTATCCGGCTTGAGAGGAGCACCTCGTACCCCACACAGCCCCGAGCAGAGCACAACAGCCCCATGGAAGATCGGGGCCACTTG